TGGGTGCCAGCAGCCACAGACACTTTGATGAGGCGGCACTGCCCGCTGAGGGGCTCCCCACCCCACCCCTGCCCTGTGCCTGGGCTGGGCAGCCGCTGGCTCTAGGCCCGCTGGACAAACAGTCCGTCTGGCACATACCCGATGGCACCAGCAGCAGCACCCTGTACCTGACCTTAAGGCTCTGGCAGGCAGCACCCTCCACCCAGCACACCCAGGCCTGCTGGGAAGCTAGGAGCCCCTTCACGTCCTGCCTGGACCACAGACCGCTCCATTCTGCCTTGGCAATGTCCTCCTGGCATCTACCTCCTTCCCCGCCCTGCAAGGCTCCCCTCTGAGCCCTAAATATTCTTTTTTTCTTTTCTTTTTTGCAGAACCGGGGATTGAACTCAGCCCCTTGCACTTGCCGGGGAAGCACTTATTCTACTGAGCCATCTCCCCACCCCACCCCCTAAATACTCTTGTAAACCCTTTCAAACCCTCCCTGCAATCCCAATGCCCCTGTTTTCTCTGGTAGCATCTCAATGCTTTTCATCTTGCCCTGTCCTGACCCCTCAGAAGTGAGCACAGTTCAGGCTGCAGCAAGCCTGCGAATCTCTGTGGCACAGGGAAGAAAATGCCTGCTCCTCCCTTCCCTGACTCCCACCCTCTCAGCCCCAGCAGCAGGAAATTCAAAGTGTGTGTTTTTTGGGGAAGGACAGAGGGGCTCTGACCCACCAAGGCACCTTGATAAAAAATCCACCTGCTCAGAACATTCTGACCCAGGCGGGCAGCACCAAGGGGACAACTGGGAAAAACCTAGGACAATAGCAGCTTACTCAAAGCTGGGTGAGACCAAAAGGCTGGGGAGAAGGTCACATCTCTAACACCCCGCCAGCCCACTGCTGGGTGGAGGAAAAGGCCTCCAGCCGCCTTGTGGAGCTACAGCTTTTCCTGTCTGCAACAGTGCGAAAGTGGACTTCCAAAGGGTCCTCACAGAGCCAGGCGCAGTGGCACACACCTGTCATCCCACTACTCTGGAGGCTGAGGCAGTAGAACGGCAAGTTTGATTTGTTTTTGTTTGGTTTGGTTTTTGCGGTACCGGGGATTGAACTCAGGACCTTGTGCTTGCCAGACAAGTGCTTATTCTACTGCGCTATCTCTCCAGCCCCCAGAACAGCAAGTTTGAGCCCAGCCTGGACCTTCACATTGAGCGACACTCCCACCCCTATTACTTTTTGATCTTGACACGGGGCTTTGCTAACTCACTACGTTGTCCAGGCTAGGCTAGAACTTGCCCTCCTCCTGCCTCAGCCTCCCACAATGCTAGGATTACAGAGGTGCATCACTGCACCCGGCTACAAATAATCTTGCATTTCTGAGTTCAGCCACTAAGGCACGTGGTGCACAGGTTCCCCTCCAAAGCCAGGAAAAAGCCCCAACATTCAGTGCAGAGTAGCACCACAGTCAGAGGTCGCTGGGTCCCCAGCAGCAGTCACCGGAATCTAAATGTCAGCAGGAGCCAGAGAGGTTGTGGAAGGCAGCAGCACCCACACCCACACCCAGGGCTGGTGGGACCAGGACGGTGCTTAAATACATGATTAACATCCTACCTAGCAATGCACTGCTGAAGTCACACCTAAGACAAAGGAACTTACACCTAACAGAAAAGAACTCACACATTCACAGGGAAGCATATGCCACAGCAAAGCCCAAAGGTACAAGCAGCCTGCACCCTTATGCATTTATTTACAAATGGACACACCCAGCATGGCCCCTGAGCACTGGAATATTACTCAGCCAGGAAAAGGAGCGAAGCTGTGACACTTGCCAGCCTAGATGGATGGACACTGAGGATGCCGTGCTCCGTGAGACACCAGACAGAAACCACAGAGCATGGTCTCTACAGACAGTAAATGCCAGGACAGATGAATCCAGAGATAGAAAGTAGACTTGGTGGGGGGGCTAGGGCAGCAAGGGGATGCGTGACTGCTCATGGGACAAATGGAGCCATCCTTAGGGAGGAATGGAGTGTTCTGAAATCAACAGAGATCTTTGCTGCAAGTATGCCCAAACGCCGCTGAATCATACACTTCCAAAGGCCAACTGTGTAAGTATAAATCAGATCTCGTTTCTCTGAGTTGTTGAGATTCAAGCTTCAAGCCCCAAAGCAGCCGAAAATCTAGGCTTAAGAGGCCACAAGCTCAGAGCCACACAATGGCCACTCCGGGCCTTGGGTGTGGCCGTGTGGGTGACAGGAAGCTGCCAGGATGCGCTTTCCATGCCAAGATCCCAATCACGGCCATGACGCACCCAGGCCCCGGCCATGCTGGGAGCGCTTTCTCTGGGGACAGGTGGCCCCACCTTCCCCAGGCCCTTCATTTGCAGGGAGCTCAGCCCAGCTGCACCCCCAAGCCTGCAGCCTACAGCACAGTCTCCCAGCTACGCAGAGGAAGTGTCAGCCCTGGGCCCTGCCAAGAGCCAGAGAAGCCAGAGACGGTGCCAAGCGGCGGCCAGCCAGGGCTGCCACGCGCCGGGAAGGGGCAGTGGGGCCAGCGCCAGAGTCAACACAGCCAACATCTGCTGGGCTGGTGGGGCCCGGGCTGCAGTTGACAAGCCTGGCACTGATGCCAGCTGCACAGAGGGCAGTGCCAGCCCCAGCTGGGCAGAGAATGCAGCGCCTGACTGCAGGGCCCGCCCTGTCTGCCCACAACATCCCGAAATCCAATCATCATACAACACTCACTTCCCAGACCAGACAGACATTCAGCGTCCGGCCTCTGCGCGTACCGAGCCCCGCCCCCTCCCCTAGGACCAGGTGCGGGCTGTCTCCTCTGACAGGTCACATCTTGGGCACACTGACCTCCTTTTTGATTTTTTTTGTGGTACTGGAATTGAACCCAGGGCTTGCATTCTGAGAAAGATCCTGACAGGGTCTCACTATGTAGCCCAGAATGGCCATGAACTCAATGATCCTCCTGCCTCAGCCTCCCAGAGTGTCGGAGTTACAAGCCCGCATCCTGAGCCTGGATTCCTGGCTCCATTTTGGCGTTCAGTGCTCAGTTATAGAAGTTCCAACGTGAGGGACCCAACGCGCCCCCATGCTGCTTCCCTGGGCAGTCTCATCCTCAACCTCTCAGACATCACTGATCTGTCCCCAACAGAGGGAAACTGAGGCATAGAGCATGATGGAGCTGACCAGACAGCCAGGACCTCCTCTTGGGCCTGGACCCAAGCTAGCAGCTATGGTCAGGCATGGGGTGTGGCCTGGTCACACCCAGGAGCAGTGACGTCTGTCCAGGCAGGTCCGCTGGCTGGCTGCCCACCTCCACCTCGTCCTTCACACCAGGACCAGGGCCTGGAAGGCGAGGCTGCCCCGCCCAGCCTGGTGATGTCACCACAGCTCCCTGGGGTTCCTCAAAACTTTCCCTCTTGACTCCTCAAAATTCTCCCTCTGCCCGAGCCATGCTTGTGCTGTGCCCACCACCCAAACCGCTATCCCCTGGCTCTGTAACTCCCTGTCACAATCAATGCCACCATACGTCCACTTTCCAGACATCTATGTGTTTTATGCCAACCCAAACTGAACTCTCTATTTCTCATGTTTGGTTTTTTTGGTTTTTTTTTCCCCACAGTCCCAGGGATTGAACCCAAGACCTTCACACTGAGCTCCATCATCAGCCCTTTGTGAGGCAGGGTCTTAATAAGTTACCCAGCCTGCACCGGAATTTGGGACCCTCCTGCTTCAGCCTCCCAGAGTGCTGGGTGACAGGTTTGCAATACCAACACCTGGCTCCAAACTTGTCTATTGATTGCTGACAAATTGCAATATCCTTTTCTACTAACCAAGTGCCTAGTGGGGCTCTGAAGGGAGCCTCTGGTGGCCCTGGGACCCTCAAGCCTGTCCCTTACAGCTACTATGGGCAGCTGGAGCCCTCTGCCCCTCGCCTGGGGCAACTGCATCTGTGACGCTGGTCCTGATGGGGAGGCTGACTCCTGTTGGTGGCTCCAGGAGGCCAGGCAAGGCCCAGCTGGCCAAGGGCTGGAGCCCAGCCGGCCACCAGCCGCCATCTGCTTTCCATCTGTGCGGTGGACTTCAAAGGCTCCTCCACCCGTCCGGCCACTTCCTCTGGCCCGGCCGCCCGCAGGGAAGGGGCAGGACCGCCCCTACTTCCTCTGTGACCATCAGGGGCCCAGGAAGCTTCTGGGGTGATCCTGAGACCCCCATGTTGCCCCTGCCTACCCTCAGTCCCCACCCCAGCACCACATGCCTGGCACTCCTAAAGTTATATCCAAGTGTCCACCAGAGCCACTGCCCCGGCTGGCACCACCATCTCCTGTCCCGCAGCCACTGCAATCATCTTACTGTGGACACAACTCACACAGATACTCACAAACCCCATGTGAGGAACAGGACACCCCGTCCCTGAGGCATAAGGCCCCACCTCTCCAACCATGTTGGTTGCCACAAGTTCTATCTCAATGTATTTGTCTTTGCAGTGCTGGGGATTAAACCCAGGGCCATTGGACCTAGCTATCTCCTCAGATCTTATTTTTTATTTTAAGCTACAAAGGTGCCCAGAGGGGGCCAGGGAGATGGCTCAGTGGAATAAGGACTTGCCTGGCAAGCGCAAGGGCCTGAGTTCAATCCCCAGTTCCACCAAAAAAGAAAAAATGGTACCCAGGATGGGCTTGAATTTGGGATCCTCCTGCTTCAGCCTCCCAAGTGCTGAGATCACAGGCGTGTGCCTCAGCACCTGGCAGCCTCCCCAAGCCTTCGAGCAATCCATTCCCTCCATCAGACCTGCCTCTCCAGTTGGCCACCTCAAGGTCACCTCCACCCATCGTGGAGTGCAAACACCTCCCACCTATGGTCCTGCACCAGTCTTTATCACTAGTCCACCCCAGACACACATAGAAATCTTAGTGTGGCTCCCTAGAAGCTATGGGTCAAAGTCAGCCCAACTGGCAGTGACAGGGACAATCTGAAGATCGCCGGATCCCAGTGATGCCACAAGACCCACCTGCTTAAACTGCTCCTCGTAGGTCCAGTCCCCGTGGTCAGGCGGCTGCAGCTGGGAGGCTACATGGGTGGCCCCTCCAGGGTGTGTGGAGCCAGGTCCCGGCCTCTCAGGGCCACCTAGCACCCTGGGGATGCCATCTCCACGGAAGGCCTGGGCTGGCGGGGCCTTGCGGGGGAAAAGGCCTGTGGGGCCCAGGCCTGTGGGGCCTGGGGGGCCCAGCCCCTCTTCCTCCACATCCTCCTCCTCCTCGAAGTCCTCTTCCTCCTCCTCCTCCTCGTCCTCGTCCCCCATGTCCTCCTCGAGCTCTTCCTCCTCCTCCTCCCACTTTTGCTTCCTGCAGTGAACACAGGACACCAACCCATCAAAGGACAGAGCGCCAGCCTATCCCAGCGGCTGGGAAAGGTCCACTGTCTGTCCCAGCCTCAGTTTCCCCTTCTGAAAGTGGAGAGAGCAGGCTCCCACAGGCTCAGGCTGTGGTGCCCCAAAGCACTTGGGTTGCTAAAACATTTATTCTGTTGCCAACAGCCCAGAACAAGGTAGCCCGCTGTAGGGCATGGATCCCAGCTTCTACCCTCCTGTCCTGCATCCCTAATTATCAATATAAGGTACTCCGGGGCTGGGGAGATGGCTCAGTAGAATAAGTGCTTGCCTGGCAAGCACAAGGGCCTGAGTTCAATCCCTGGTTCCGCAAAAAAAAAAGATAAGGTACTCCTGTCCCAGGGCCTTTGCACAGACTGCCTTGTCCTCTCTGCTCCTCAAACTCACATAACTCTGTACACCTCTGGTGTTTTGTTTTGTTTTTTTGTTTGTTTTTGTGGAACCGGGGATTGAACTCAGATCCTGGCGTTTGCCCATCAAGCGCTTATCCTACTGAGCCATCTCCCCGGCCTGTACACCTCTGATTTAAAGCCCATCCCCCCGCCAAGGCACCACAGTGTTTTCTCTGCCACCCTGTTGGGTCCAACTCACATGTCATCATCAGAGCCCATGTCCTCGAAGTGTCCATCTCCTTCCAAGTGTTCCAGTCCCTCCTTGTCTTGGCCAGGGGAGCTAGGAGCCCCCTCCTGGTCCATGTCCTCATCCTCTGAACCTGGAGGACCATCCTCAGATGAGCCGCCACCAGGGCTGGGTGGGTGTCCAAGGCCCGCAGCAGCAGCCCGCATGGCAGCCAGTGCAGCCATCTGTGCCCGCTGCATGTGGGCGCTATTGGGCTCTCTGTCTTCATCAGGGGTGGCCCGTGCTCGGGCTGTGGGTCCCGGGGTGGGGGTCTCGGGCAGTGGCGGCTGCTGCCGAGCCTCCAGCTCTTGGTGTGCACGTTGCTGCCGCTGCAATAGGGTCTCCATCACCGCCTGCAGCTTCATGGCTCTGCGGGCTGGGCCGCCGCCCCGTACACCTGGGGCAGGTGGTGGGGGTGGCCCCTGTGGGGAGGGGGCCCGGCCACACTGCAGCGTGGGGGTCTCGGGGGAGCCGGGGCAGTGCAGGGTGGCGGGGGGGGCAGGGGCGGGGGCCGCCGGCTCAGGCTGAAGGCTGGCAGGGCATGCCCGTGGTGGACGGCTGGGGCCCTTCTCACACTGGGCACCCAGGGGCAACAGCTAGCATCCGGCTCATTCACGGGCTTGCAGAAACCTGGGAGCAGCAAGAGAGAAATGATCGGACCACATTCAGCCCCATCTGTCCCAAGACAAACTGCAAAGCCTCATGGGAGAATCCCTGGCGCTGCTCTCACTGGGATGCACACCTGGTAGCCTTTCTGAAGGAAGAGAGGCACACAGTTTCCATGCCCCCTCTGGCCACCCAGTTACAGGACTGAGGAACAGGGTCACCCCACTGAGCCTCAAGGGGGAAATGCACTGTTGCCACCTGGGCCACCCAGCAATCTTGGGTTATCTATTGCTTCATAAGTGGCAGGACCTAGCGTTTCTGGATTCTGATTGGCTACAGTGAGTCACTTCTAAGACCCTGGAATCCAGCTGGGTTCTGGGCTCTGATTCCAAGTTCTAGGTGCTGCCCATTCCCATGCTGGAGCACAGAGACCCCTGTGTACCCCTTTTTTCTCCTTCTTTACAGTAGTGAGGACTGAACTTAGAGTCCTTTTCACTGAGCCTCTTTCTTTCTTTTTTTCTTTCGGGGATTGAACTCAGGACCTTGGCAGGTGCTTATTCTACTGAGCTATCTCCCAGGCCACAAGCCCTTTTTCTTTCGAGATGGGTCTTCTAAGTTGCCCGGACTGGGTTCCAACTTGCGGTCCTCCTGGCTCAGCTTCCCACAGCGCTGGGATCATAGGCATGTGAAATCATGCCTGGCTCCTCTTTTCCGATTAACAGACAAAGCTGACCCAGACTGAGTGCTTGCTGTATACCAGCCCCAAGCCTACACTCTCTACCCAAAGTGGTATCTCACCTTCAGTCATAGCTGCACCTTGGCTCCCCTGAGCCTCAGTTGCCCCATCGGCCAAGCAGTGATAACACTCACATCAAGGGGGAGAGGATAAAATGAACTCATGACCCCAACGGTGGATATAAAGCAGGTGCCACATGGGGGGGGGGCTCCCAGTTTTGCCAATAAGGGAAACAGAGGCTCAGCCAGTCCTGCAGGCCGATGGACACCTGTGCCTGGGTGAGGTGAAAGCCTTCTATGCTGACCACACACTCTCTGCAGGGCAGCAGGGCCTGCAGTGCCTAGTTTAGGGGGGAACTCCTGTGGAGCAAATATCCTACAACGCCCCATGGCTAGGCTTCCTTGGGCCACTGCCACTTCCATCTACCCAGGGTGCCATCAAGATGTCCCAGGATCTGGCAGGGACCATCATGGGGACAGAGTAGGGAAGAGGGGCAAGACAGGAGGGTCCAGGAAGCTGTCCCTAACCCAGACCTGGCAATGCACCCAGGACAGAGGGACTGGAAACAGGCTCCAGCCACAGGGGACCCTGGTCACTGGCCACACTCTGGACACCCGGTGACCATCCCTATCCTGGGGACTCTTGCAGTGTAGACACTGCGTCTCCTCAGACACGGACTCCCTTTGCCCAGGAGGTTAAGAGGCAAGTTTGGGGAGCCAGAGGTGGCCTCACAGGAAAGGGGGTAGAGCACATCCCAAGGGGCCTTGGTGTCCCCTCCTGTCCTTCCAGGACAGAGGTCCCAGGACACAAAGACCTCAGAAGCTTCATCCTCCGAAGATCACAAAAGCAGCACCCAGTGCGCCCCCATCCTAGGGCTAGAAGCTGCTGGTCACTGGCCACCACTAGACCCAGGAAACGCTGAGGGGACACTTCTGACCGGCCCTGGTCTGGCTGACCGCCCCTCCCCCACCTTTGACAACTTCAAGAGGGGCCCCCTCACGGAAACGCTGCAGGCGACACCCCCTCTTGGGTTGTGATGGTGGTGGGTGGGGGGCAGAAGGAAGAGTCTGGAGGAAGCCGCTCCTCCCTATTGCCACTCCTTGTGGGCCTGCTGCGTTTAATGACCCTTCCGGGTCGCCCAGTGGGGGAGGGGCTCAAGACCAGCCTCTCCATGTTGGGGTTGGTGGAGAGGAGGGGGCAGGTGGGAACCCCAGACCACCTCCCAACACAGGAGTAGGCCTGGGCTTCTTCATGGGCGCTGGTATCCCGAAGCTGACAACGCCCACCTCTGCAGACCCCTCCTCCCCCTGGAGCCCTTTGTCCTCCGCCCCCACCCATACTTTATGACAGCCCCAGAGAGGCATTGCCAGGGGGAGACCGGGCAGGGTGGTCGCCTGGACAGGCTGGGATGGGGGTGGGGACCGACTCAGAGCCACACCCTCCTGCCTCTCCCCCCCCCCCCAAGCCTCGGGAGAGAGGTCACCCGCTCGGCTGGGCCTTGCAAAACACGGTTATTTAAAGAGTTGTGCAAGGCTGGGGCCCGCGGGTGGCGAAAGAGGCCCCCTCACTCCTCACAGAGAAGGGGGAAGGGAGGAGGGGAGCTAGGAGTGCAAAGCTTGGGAGGGGGCTGAGAAATTGGGGCGGGGCGGGGGCTCCCCCCAAGGAAGTGAGAATACCAAAACCGAAGAAGCTGCAACAGCAAAGATGATAAAAACCCCGTCCGGATTTCAAAGGCTTCTTGGAAAGCGGCCGATTTGCATGGGGACAAGGAGGAGGGGGACCCCTGTGGCCCGAGCGGCTAAAAACGGAAGATATTTGACAAACCAGCCGCCAGGGCCGGCGCGAACGTTGGAGTTGACACACGCGCGCTCCCCCCCCCCCCCGCTTCCTGCGCCAGCTTTTGTGTCTTGGGGTGCGGGGAGGCGCTAGTGCTGGGGAGGGGGCTCTTCCTGGGAACCTCGCCCGGGGAGCCGGCCGAGCGCACTGGGAACGCGGGTCCGCTGTGTGAGCCAGGGTAGACACTTTCTAAGTGAACGCACCAGGCTGGGGAGGGGCTCCGGGAACTGCCCACCTAGGGACGCGCAAATTCACACCCGGGGGAAAAGGGAATAAATAGAAAGAGAAAAGGAAAAGAAGAAACAAGCCCCGGGAGCGCAGACCCCGCGCGCGAGCGCGCGCACAGAGCGCATTTCCTTCCGCCGGGTCCGGGGAGCGCGCGCCCGCGACCCCCAAGTGCCCGGCGCACCTCAGCGCACTTGGGTACCGGGGAGGTCCCCACAGTCCGACGCAAGGTACAGACTATCACCCCCAAACCGCGATCGGCTAGGGGCGCCTGTCCAGCCCTAGGCCCCCCATCCGCACCTCCACCTAACTTTGGAGACCCCACCCCCACCCCACTCTTGGGCTTCCAGAGCGCAGAGCGCGCAGTCCGGAGCCAGAGCGCGCCGCAAACGGCCTTACCGCGCGCGGCGGCTCGGGGGGCGCATGCCCGGGGCCCGGCCTCCCCGCCTTCCCCCGCCTCGCCGGCCTCCCCCGGCACCGGTGCGCGCTGTGGGCTCCCGGCCACCCGCCGGGCTCCTGCTGAGCGCGCCGACTCACCGACTCGCCCGCCGGGTCCGCGTCTACACCCCCATCCGCCCGGATTGGTACGAGGCTCCCCGCGCGCGGCCGGCCCCCCGCCCCGCCCCTCCCCCACCCGGCGCTCACCGCCCCGCAGACAAATCACCGGGTGACGAATCGCTCTCAGATGCAAATACCTCGCCGGTGATTCAGCGTGGTGGGCCCGGGACACGGGAGGGGTCTCGCGAGGACCCCTCCTCTTTCTCCAGACGCCCCCCACCCAGCCCCCCTACCGATTTCCCGCTCTCGGACGGACTACACGCAACGAAGCCTAAGGAAGGCTGGGGAGGGGGTAAAGAGCTGACAGAAATTTTCAGGTCGCGGCCCCTTTAAATGATAATAAATAATAAAAAGAAAGGGGGAGAAATGGTGCCGTAATGCCCCGCCCCCTGCCCTAGGGACGGTAGGCAAAGTGCTCGTCGCGACCTGGAGCGCAGAGGGCGCCAAGGGCAAGGGCGGGGCTAGGACTGTCGGAGGGGTCTACTTTCCTGGCAAGAGGGGCGATGAGAAACCGACGTTGGCGCCTCGGGTTAGGTGGACAAGAAACTTGGGTTCTAAACCTTTTCCCTATCTTACCTGATTTAAAAATGAGCTACGGGACTTGGAGTTGCACCTCCACCCCTTAGGCTGGGCCACCCGGGAGAAAGTGATTTCACCCCCTGGCCTCTGCTTCCACGTCTGTGAAATGGGCGTGAAGACCTGGAGAGAGCTGAGCTGTGGGGACAGCGGGACTGCGACAAGAGGCGACTAGAACGAGGTGGGAGGGAGGGAGGCAGGGCCTGTCCCTGGGGAGGGAGGGTGGAGAGGGCGCGGCCGCGGGCGGGGCTCTGCGTGCGCAAGGGGGGTCCCCACGGGGAATCCCGGCGACCCAGCTGTCACCACCCGTGGGAGCGGGACAACCACGAAAGGGAGAAGAGGTGCGAGGTTCGAGGATCCTCTTCCAAACAATGGTGTAGCCGGTCGCAATGGTGGCACAAGCCTGACACCTCAGCACTGTAGGAGGCTGGGGCAGAAAGATCACAAATTCGAGCCCAGAGTGGGCGATTTAGTGTCTCACGGAGACCCTGTCTTAAAAGAAAAAAAATAAAGCCAGCATTGGTAGTTCAATAGAGGAATTCTCAAAATAAAAAATGAACAGGGATTGGGGTGAAGCTCAGTGCAGAGCCCTGACCTCCATCCCCAGTACAGCCAGTAACAGCCAATAATAAGAGTAGTAATAGGAATACCAGCTACGGTCCCTGCTACCTGCGGGATGCGTAGTGCTCCGAAGTTCTCCTACCCACGGGCTGTGTTCGGTGCAGCCCCCTGGTGTCCCTATCTGTGTTTTGCAGAATGAGGAAACGGAGGTACAGTGCAACAGAGAGAGAGAGAGAGAGATTCTACAGGAGACCCATGGGGGATCCACAGCCTAGATAGGGCCCAGGGGAGCACAGGGCCACATGGAGGCA